ATACTGACAATAAAATAGCCATTCACTCAATAAAAAACAATAAAATACAAGACCCACTAACAGCTCAACTTAGAAACAATTTTATCGAACTGATGAACTTGGACATAAAAACACAACTGATTTGGGTAAAGGGACACAGCGGCGTCCGCGGAAACGAAAAAGCTGACGCAATGGCAAAAGTAGCTGCTTGTGATATTCAACTGCCTTATGAATATAATTTAGCCCCCTTCACTTACGTTAAAAAACTCTTATGGACTGATTTAACCGAAGAGTGGAATAGACATTGGCAACAATCTACCAAAGGACGACCATTACATAAATACATTCCAAACATCACCCTACAAAACTGCAACACAACAAAAAGCACCCATTATAAACTAACCCAATTCCTTACTGAACACGGCCCGACTAACCAATATCTAAACAGATTCCACTTAAAATCGACAGACGCATGCAATTGTGACGGACTGACTCCACAAACTTTCATACACATTTTAAACGACTGCCAGTTATACGAACACAAAAGAGCCAACTTCCTGAAATCTTCTTTGACGCAAGGAGACACATGGCCTCTTCCCGAACCCATACTATACAAAAAATACAAGAAGGAGTTGAAGGAATTCATTAATAGCATAAAATTATAAGACATTCCAGCATAGCTCTTTTATTTAATATACTTCTAAAAGTTAGACTTATGTCTTTTATTCTTTATTTTGTTGATACTCAATTGTAAATTTGTAACATTTGTTTATTCTCCGCATAATTTTTGTATTTGATTCTGCCTCTGTTTTAGAGTATTTTGTCTTAGTATATTCTGGTACTGTTCATTCATCTGATACTGTTATTTACTTTATTTAATCGTTTATTGTTATTTATTTTATTTAAACATCTATAAATATTCTCCTTGTAATACAAATTAAGTACCATTCTTTTTAAATATCTTTAGCCAACACATATTGTAATAAGTTATATTTATAGTTATATACTAAATAACACTGTAATGCATATAATATGCTTTTGCATGGTGTATGCACACTTCTAAAAAATATACGCCTCTTCTGTAGGGTTACTACAGCAGAGAAAAAAAAAAAAAAAAAAAAAAAAATATATATATATATATATATATATATATATATATATATATATATATATATATATATATATATATATACTTATATATACTATATATGTATACTTATATATTTGTAAATATATATATATATTTCCAACTTTTCTTTAATCGACATTTGAGTATTAAATTTAAATAATAAGTGAACTTATTCCCAATTAAATGATTATGTTTAAATATATATATACATACCTACTTTCTGGAATAATGCTATAAGAATTGGTGGTTTTGTTTCTCCTGATTAATTGGAAATACATTAATAAATAATGACAAATTGATCACTTTATTTCAGTGATTTATTTCACTTTATTTTGGTAAAAACTTTGCCTTCATAAACGGTAGCCTGAATAATCAAACAACAATCGTCACAAACGCTGCCTTGTACTATTTAATTGCAGTTGAGTGGAGGTCGAAAGGGTTATTATAAACTTTATCTTTAAACATTAAATTTATACTTTGACTATCGGGACTTGAGCTATGCTCCAGCTCACTAACTCTGAGACAATAGATCTGTACTTAACTAAAGAAACAAAAGACTTGTTTACCACGCTTTGCTTGTCTGTGTAGTTTAACTTTATAGCATGAACAAGAAATAAAAAAAAGAACTTCCGAGCTGAGACAAAGTTACAAATATAAATTTTACCATCACGGCAAAAAAAAAAAAGTTGAATCTACCTCAATGCATCACGTGTGCTAGTCAAAGAAACGTTTATTATCCTTATTCCTTTAGTACTTCGTAGTATTAAGAAAAGACGCTTTTTTAATTCTTTAATTTAATTTATCTGACAGCTCAAAGTGATTATGTAAATATTACCAAATGATCTCATTTACCAATTTTTAAACATTCATTTTAATATAAACTTCAAAAATCAAGAGGAATTATTTATATAATCTTGTATCTAGTCTAGTTTATAAAGTTGGCAACATTTACTTAGTTATTATTTTTAGTATCACTGTAGCTCTGACTTGAGATTGGATAGCTAATGTACATAAACTGTAGACCCGTAAGATGGAGTAACTTTTATTAGTTTTTTGACGATTCCGTGTTGGGTTCACTGCTTTGGTTTGGTCTGAAAAAACTTTCTTGGTATAGGCATATACTGCGCTACTACCTTGCGGCAACTTGAGAACCCTAGTTTACTACATTCGTTTTGCAGTTAGATTTTATTTAGTTTCATTGCAATTTTCAAAATTCTTGTTTCCATGAAACTTTCGCATGTGCCTCAAGAGTAGTGTTCCGCAAGGTAGTACCGCAGTACATGCTAACTGAACCAACATAGTGTATCCACCACGGAATTAACATAAACTAAATTTTACCCGATTTCCCAAAGTTACCCCATCTTACGGTTTGTATTATTGAAATCTACAAGAAAATTAAGCGCGAAAGTTTCGACGAATTCGAACAGTAGACATGACATCTGGGCACCAAAAACCATCGTGTCAGATAGCTAGAGCAAAATTTATTTTGGCTGTCACCGAATTTCGAAATTCTTCGTCCAGAGTAACAACGGTTTTAATGTCTGCAATTTACTTCGCTCGAAATCGGAATATTTCTACATGAAATTTGGTTTCTTTTGACATTTCGTTTCTCAAAATCCTTCGCTGCTTAGAGGTGGAAAAGAATCATATACTCTCCACATAGCAGACAACAAGAATAGCTCATAAGAATGGAAACCTATTTAAAATCGCAAATATTTTCATTATCAATTTCCAGCCATCCGAAGATAAGCTTAAACAAATAAAAAACTTTACCCACATTTTCGCAATAAATTTTCCTTAAATTAAGTTACTGGCTTAGCATTCATTAAATAAGCCGCCATTATTTCTGTTAGGCAAATTTTATAATTATTAAAAAAAATTCTTCGAATAATGTTAATTTTTTCGCACGAACTCTCCAAGAATTATTTATAACATAATGTAACAGTCATTTGGGAAAAAAAATCACTTCATGGCACAGCTTTTAGGGTTTATTTATTTATGATTTCAAATGCCGACGAAAGGATAACACCAACCTGTTTAAAGTCTTAAAAGGGGGATTGCCTGAAAACCCACACTCCCGGCAGTTATGATCCATTCATAAAAGTAACAAAAGGCAGTGGAAAGATTTATCACGCATTCAAATGAAGGCCGGTAAACATCAGTACCCGGCAGTTAGAATTTTAATGGCTGCACCGATATGATATGTGCTTGTCCAGATATATAAAACCATTGATCCTCCAAAACAATTTATTTCACAAAAAGCTGAGGTAATAAATTATAAAACCATGACTGAGAAGTTGTGAATCGCATCACCGTTTTATGAACGTAAAAGCCTTTTTTTAGTGAATCAGTCATATTGTTAAATGGCCTGTACTATGTCGAGAGAAAGTCGTTAAGTTCAATGTATATTTTTGACTTTCATAATATATTGTCTGTATCATTGAAATATTATATTTTGAGTTTACATTTTTTTTTTTCCAACGTCGTTTAATTTTTAACTAGTTAAGTTTAATTTTAGAATTTCTGACTGATTTCCTTGCCGCTGTATTAACTATAAATTGCCGTTAGTTGTTCCATTGTAGTGGTAATGTTTTTTTTTTCTTGGGTGATAAATATTCAGGACGCAGTCTTTTATTATGAGGGTGTTCAAGTACTCCCTACTTGAACACCCTTGTAGTAAGTACTTGAACATCCTCAGTGTTCAAACCACGCCCTGAAGATGACCCACATGCTTGGGTTGATACGTTGGCACAAATAAAAAATAATTTTTTTTTTTAAAACGACTGTGTCCTGAATATATGTCATACATCACCCATGTATGTAGAACAGTCGACTAGCTTCCTTCAATTTTTTGTTTCTTATGAGCGAGTAGTGCGTAGTTTAGAAGTGACTGTAGCCTCGTCGTATTTTCGGCTAACTTGCCACAACATCTAAATGCTTTTGTTACAAATACATCTGATTTTTTAAAAATATAAATTAAAAACTTATGAAAAATAAAAAAATATTTTTTTCTTCTTTTAATAAATCTATGTAACCTGTTTTGAAACTAAACGCCTCATGTGAAACATATATATTCACGGGGAGAAATAGAAAAACTGATAAAAATCTGAAAAAGCCAGCACAAATCTGAAAAAGCCGAGAAAACTTAACCTAGGAGAATTCGTTGGAGATTCTCATCTCTACACAATGATATAATATACTATAAATATAATTCCTTATGTCAACTCAAACTACTTAATTTAATAATTGATGCTAGATTAAATATAAATAATGTTCTTTATTGTACAAAATATATCTGTATATGTAGGCTTCAATCCTCTGTCGATTACCAAGAAACGTTCTTATGTAATATATGATCCAATAACTAGTGTAGTCCAAATGCGCGACCGAGACGAGTCTTGGACTTGCAAACTCTGTCTTGCTCATGGTCTTGGTCTTGCAAAAGAGTGTCGCAACATTCTTGCAGTTTCTTATTAGTATAGAAATATTACTGTAATTTTTTTTTTGTTGAAAAATTAAAGGAGTTAAATGCAAAAGTATATTGGTTATACCAATCATTAACATATAGTAACTAAAATTGGCGAGTATTAGTAACTACTTTGCTTTAATTTTTTACCATTCCTCGTCTTGGTATTGCAATTGTTAGGCGGCCTTGGTCTTGGTCTTGCAAAGTACAAGACTAAGATCGATTTTGGGCCACACTAATTCTAACAACTCTAGTGATAGGTTCATGCATTAACAAAATGTTAAAAATCTAGTTTTTAAACATCTTTTGCAGATTGTCTGTTTTTCTATTTATGTAATTTTGTCATATGGTGATTATAATGCTATAAAGCTTATATAACATATATATATATATATATATGTCTAACATAACTCTAATTGTTGACAGATAGTGGCTCACTACATCGGGACTGAAGAGAAACTGGTGACCATGAACGACACCAAGATCCACTGGTCAGGCGGAAGGACGAGCCCCCCGCCGGATACTCCGATCTGTGGCTTCGACAACTCCCTCTGCAAGTGTAGGTAGTCTCTTGTCTACTTGCATCTACTAACATATGTTATAATTTCCTTGGATAATTAATTTAAATATATCTGCCTATAGTTCAGAAATAAATTAACCAAAAATTGATATTTGATTGCAAATTTATTTGAACTTTTTGAGGAAAACTTCGTCCTCCTCCTCAGGAATATATTATTCATTTAAGATATTGGGTTTGTCACAAAAATTTCAATTCGACAGGATTTGTCAATGGTTCCACTTTCAATCGTTCCATAAATCTATTTAATTAAGTACCATTGACCAATCCTGATGAATTAAAATTTTTTGACTAATCCAATTTCTTGGGCGAGTAATATATTTCTAAGAAATAGGACGAAGTTTTCCTCGAAAGTTTATAATAAATTTTTAATCAAATATTAATTTTTGATTAATTTATTTCTGGCCAATAGGCAAATGAACCACTATAAAATTAAATATTTTTTGCATTTGCATGTTAAAAAAAAATATTCTGTGCTTAAAAGCCACCAATAAACACAATCAATTTCTTATTGCTAATATAAATAAAAAAGAGATTTTTTAAAATAAGAATTCAAAGGAATATAATAAAATCATTAAACAGTATTCATTATTAAGATGCCATTTCAAAATATCATTAAAAGTATATGATCTCTGAGATATTATTATATATGGAAACTATTTTGGAGCCACAGCTTTATTTATTTATTTTTTCTTTATCGACATTAAGACCGTGTTTCTCTGCGATCTCACGAGTAGTCCCTATATCAACATCCTCGATACATTGCAATATAATGTAAATCAATTTTTAGTTTACTATTTATCACAATACGTTGTATCTGCATATGTTTTCTTTTCCTACCTTCTGGTTGTTTTAATCATTTGCTATTTAGTGTACCTTATACGGTTGAAGTTTTGAACTTTTCTGAGATATCATGTCTTCAAATTCGAGATCCTATCCTGATGATATTTGATGTTAAGAAACCTTGACCGTACAGTCATTCTCTGGTATCTGAGAGACTTGAAATTCAACATTTTTAACTAAGATTAATTAAAAAAGAATTCAAGATATATAATCGTCACAAAACGATGAGTACCAATAAAGGCCCCGAAAATATTTGGAATGTTTTATCTCTTTCAATTGTTTCTGGTAGGGATAAAATCGAAAGGTATTAAAACTTTTTGATGTAGTCCTAATGAGTTCATCAGGAACAGAGTTTATCTTTGTTGATTCCACAAAAGTTTTAAAAAGTTGGCCTTTTAGCTATAGCTTAAGAAATTTTGTAAGTTGAAAATAAGAAAATTGAGTGCTTCATGAAAACCAAAACAGAAGAATTAATGACTAGCCTAAGAACATTAAGGATATAAACAGAAAATTACATGTACACTTTCTTTCGATTTATTTTTTATAAAAATAATCCGATCTAAGATGATTTATAATAAATTAATGAAGGAGATGGTTCGGGGTGGCGGTCATAAATAGGCTGAATATTTTTGCCACTATTCAGCCTATTTATGACCGCCACCGCGGACCATCTCCTTCCTTTGTAACTTTGTAACTTGTCAACTATTAAATATTCAATAATCAATAAATATGTGTTATACATTTTATTTATTTTTTTCAAAAAAGTCAAATCTAGTTTTAGTTTCGTTAAGTCATCCAAAAATCAGCAAAAGGATAGATTTTAAGATAAATTCAACTGATAAATTTGATTAACTTCGGTCAAGATTCCGAGCCATAAGACATTCAGATATTACGAATTCCAACGTTTTGTGTAATCATGCATTCTTCTTTTTTTATTGGCACAAAATGTTCTTGTGGCTGCTCAACAACCGTTTCCCGCTGTCTTCCGCGGTCACTACTAACATGGTTCTGTCATCCAGGCTTTAAAAACTTGGCGTTTCTGTCGAAATGTCGATATTTTGAAAATGCCATTTCAAAATCCTACATCTTCTAAGAGATCCGAATATTAGAAACCAATCTTGTCTATCGTGGTTCTGCATTAAAATTCTTCTCAGTAATTCTGTTTCTACATAAAAGCTTGAATACTTTCGAATTTTCATAATTGAAAAAATTCTACAGACACTCTTATGTAAAACAACAAGAAAAATCTGATATACAATGTTGAGTAAGGTGTTTAGATAATCTCTTCCTTTTTTTATACTGGCAAAATTTGGCTATTTGCCCAATCCCGCAGGATCACTTCTTCTTCCCAAATTTTTCTCATATACATAGGCACAATGAGTATTTTTTTTAACAAGTGGCAATGTGGGGATAAATAAATGAGATACATATTATTCATAACTAATTGTAAGTAACATTTGTTTGTAACTTTCATTGAGGTTATTGTGTATAACATATATTTGAATTTGTTTGTTTTTGGAATTGATTTATCTCCTAAACAGATACAGTTGGGGTTGTATTTTCGGCTTATTATCATATATGTTGTTTTATATTGATTTACTTTTCGGGGATTTCTCTCTGTTTCTCTTGACTGTTTCCAAGGACAGCTATGTCTCCTGCATCCGGTACAGAATGAAAAGTTGTTCAATGCGATATAACATAAAACCAAAAATTAAATCGCCATGTCTTCCCCTCAAAAATGAAAAAATTTATAGCTGGCAGACTTTGTGGAGGGATAGCCCGTCAAGTTAACTAAAATATATTTAAAAAAACAGCAAAGCCACGTTCACCATCAAATCGTCCTATCCGCAGAGGAGAGGTTTTCTTACCCAGACTAAGAATAAGCCATACCAATCTAACACATTCACATCTCATTAGCAAACAGCCACCATCGAAGTTCCAACACTGTAATAGTACAATTACATCCAGTTAGCCACATTTTTCAAGGATATTCTTTTTAAATCTCGAATTTAACTAGTGCCGGACTCACACCTCAATATCAAACATCCTTAAAAATGACAAAGAAACAGGTCAGTATTAAGAAATAAGTTAGTATTAATTCTTTTTAGTTAAAAAATTCGTTAAACAAATTTTTTGTAGTGCGTCCGAATATGGTCGATAATTGTTAGCATGTTTGTTCAATTCAAATGTAGTTGGGGATAAACACAACGCAGGCGTTGATGACCTATGAAATGTTTGAAATAAACAGCAAAGGCTAACCTCATGCTTAGGGTAATGTGAGAAAATTACAGTTCATCACTATTGTCCTTAGATATGACAGATTATAATATTTCTAAAAAAAGAATTTTTAAAAACAAATGATAGAACCTAATTTTGAACCGAAGAGTTATTAGATTTTTCAAAGGATGTTAGCTATGAATATTTCTTTTTTAAAAAAAGTACCATATATGTTGAATTATATATTTAGAATATATACTGTTGTATATATTTTCTGGTATTAAAAGTTAAATTGAAGTCTAGATAAATCCGGCAGGAAGTCCCACATGCATGAGACCCCGCTGGGAAGCGGGCCGAGAGCATTGCAGATCCTCTCTTTTATTAAAGTTCTCACTGAGGAGAAGTGTTTAAACATTCATTATTCGTCTTTTGTTTGCGCCCATCCGAAGAGAAAGGATTTCCTCGGAAAAATTTATATGTTCCTAAAGAGAAATGAAATTCATTTTACCTTATTAGATCTGAGAATTATCTCATTACTCTCAGTGGTACTTACCCTCATTAAAGTCTTAAACATTTCACGTTTCAGTATAACAATTACGGATTAAAGTAAAAATTACTATGCAGGGATTTTAATTATTTTTATTCGTATGTGTGATATATGTAACTTCTTAGAATAATGAAAGGAAGTATTTGTTAGCTTATTTAAATTTCCTTTTTAATGCTTTGTGCTTTGCTATATAGTAAGATTGAGAACAGACCCAGCTCAGGAATACTTTAAAACATTAAAATTATTAGATTATATAGTATATTAATAAAGCATAATCATACCATATTGCCAGGTTTTAATGAAAATACATAAAAAGCTATTACTGACTGTGGTACTGGTACTGGTTGGCCACAACAACAACAACAACAAGTGTGCCTATCATAGTCCTTTTTGCCAACCCGTGGTGGTTACCTTTACCTGAGGTTGTCACCGCGTACTTACCAGAGTGGGAATGTCACGATCCATTTTATGGGGCAGCTGAGAGATTAAAATTAACCGCCCAGGTTTGAATGAAACACACAACGTTGAGAACAAAGCATTCTGGGACCCACGCCCCAACGTACTCGGCCATCCCGTCCTCAGTGCATTCGGTAAATATATATACATAAATCTGTTGATCCCAAAACCTCGTTTTCTATTATTGGTGCAAGATACGCTGTCAGATTTTCATGAATAAACTAATTGATTTTATAGAAGGAACGAAATTGATGAAAGACTAAATTTGCTGTCAATTAAATCCATTTGCAATAATAATATTTTTCTTCCGAAAAATCCAACGATTTTTTTTATATTTTCAATGTTATGTACATCAGAAATTCCTCAAACATTATTCGATATTAGTCTGTTTGCTGATAAGATTTTTTTTTTTTATTGGGGATTTATTCGCAAAAATATTAAATTTTTATTTTTTGCTTGATAGTAAAATTTTAAATTAGATGAAAAAATGCTTCAAGTTAAATCGTACTCTAGCATTTTTATTTACTTTTTTTAGACAAAATTGATTTTCATTTAAGCGATTCAAACGATTTCAATGAAGATAACACCTGCCTGATGTTGAAAGCCATTTTGTTTTACATTTATATAACGATTTTATTCAAAATTATTGCAGCCGTTTTCTAGGAAAGTGTAAAAAGGAGTAATGTCATGATCAGTAGTATAATCAGATTAAGTTACTTCCTATTAGACGAATTTGACGAAACAATTATAATATCCCAGGCATATATCGAGGCTGGATTGTTAAAACACACACAAAAACAATTTCAATTCGCAAATTTAATTGTAATATTCGGCAGGGCTGGGAAATATCTTCAGTCCGTCAAATCATGGCAGGAGTACCCCAAGGTTCAATACTAGTACCTCTTCTTTACGTTATATATACTTACGATATACCTGTTAACAATGATATCTGGACAGCTACTTATACAGACGATATAACAATTCTCACAAAACATCAAGAACCTACAGGCCTCAGTAATTCTACTTGCTTTATATCGCTTATTTAAATTTCAAGATTGATTCACACTTTGGAAAATTCGACTTAATCATGTCATCATGACTAGCCCAAACATATAAAAACCACCTGCCCTCCAGTTTATATTGACAACAATCAAATTCCTTTAACGGTCTCGATACTTTACCTTCGATAGAAGGATGACATGGGGCCGCATGTTAAAATGAAACATATGACACTTACCAAACGACTTAAACTACTTTACTCTCTTTTTACTAAATCTTCAAAACTTAAACTAAAACAGAAACTAAATATAAATACATACTTACTGAGACCCATATGGATGTACTCGTCACAAATATACTGTATCGCTATAAAGACCCACCTACTAAAATTTCAAACCTTCCAATCAAAATCATTGCGACCCGTAACAAAAGCACCATGGTACGTGACTAAAACTGTACATACTGACCTCCACCTTCCAACAGTTGACCATCACATGGGACTCTTTATCAACGATTTCACACTAATTTAAAAGGATATAATAACAAACTGATAAGAGACATGGTTACAGCTGACATACCTCAGAACATGAGGAGGACACTAAAACGGCGTTGGATGAGGGATCTCCTTCCTTAACCAACCTAAGTAATTGGGACAAGTCAGGGAAACAGCTGAGTACTTTTCTTCCCCGCGCCTGTCATGTCATTATTTGCAGCACATTTGCTGATTGTCAACAATTAGTTGACAGGTGTGAATACATTTTTTATAGAAAAAAAAATAACAACATTGAACTCAGGGCCCCTCCAATGTGTAATTCCGTTGAAATTGTTCGCGATGGCAAAACATTCTCTTATTATATATATATATATATATATATATATATATATATATATATATCAGACATGTAAAAAATGTTGCAGTATTTAAATACTTTTAAATACTCCAGTATTTATATACTTTTATGTCTTGGCTGAGTTCCCTGCTTTGATAAATTGTTTGAAAAATTATTATAGAAGTTATCTGAAATGCTTTTGGTATAATATTTATACGGTTTATATTTAAATATTTTAACAGTTAATATATATTAATAGATTTATAATATTATATCCTAATTTAAATTCATTTTAATTTTATTTTCAGCTATGCCTATTTACGCCATCCTGAGTATCGCCTTGGGGTCGGTTGTCGTGGTTCTGTTCGTCGCTTCCGCCTTGATGTACAGGTCAGTGAGATTAGTAAGAGGAGAGTGGTACCCCATTTCGGACCTGCCTTGTAGCAAGCACTAAGCTGCTTAATATCTAGCTAACTTATCCTAACCTTTTTATCTAGTCTAAACTATTATATTACTAGTCTATCTGTCTAATTATGTCATATATTTATGTACCGTAGATCTGTCTTTATTTAATTATGTAGTTATGTGTTATGTTAGATGTTATCGCTTTATGTAAAGCTGAACAGTACAGGGTATTCGATGTGTATATATTTCCTTCTTTCTGAAAATAATATTTTTCCCTTGTAATATATTGAAGTAGGCAATATTTTGGTGAAGGTAAATATGTTTGTAGCACTCTCTGAACTGTACACCATCATTAGCTTGTTTAACCTGCCATGTATTATTTAAACAAGAACATTATTTTATAAAGTCGCTTGATGCTTGTATTCGATTATTATATTATTGTTTGAAGAGAAACGAAAAAAAAATGTATTAAGTATTGACAGAGATGTAACTAAAAAGTATTAAGTTAATTATAAGAATACTGATAAAGTTCTTTGTCAAATAAAATTTGTTTGAAGTAATGTTTTTGTTTTTTACTCCATCTAATATCTATCATGCTTGCTTGCTCGCTATCAGAACGCACGCTTAGACATAGACCTACCATATTTTTGGCGCTATAGCAAATGTTCATTTGTCATTTTTAAAAAAAACAAATTATTTCGTGAAACTTATGTAGCTCAGTTAAGTTTTTTTATTGTTAATACTTTTATTAAAATTCTGATATGATTAATGAATAATGCAAAGTAGATTATCAAAATAACTTTTAAAAATGACATTTGCTTTAACGCCACAGTTATTATGTAGATTTGATCTAGCGTAGACAAAATTAAAAGTTGGTTAACAATTATATTTATGGGATCATTATTTTTTTTTTTTTAATGTAGAACTTATCGCATGTGATACTTGTTCTTATTACATGTTCACACTGCTTGATACAGTTTTCTGTTTCATTTATTTTTCAGATTATATAATTTTATTCATTTTTCAGAATATTATTATTAGCATTTTTTCCGAGCATCCTTACTTACTTCTACTTGTAGTGTAGAAGCTAGTGTCATAATGATTTAATGGACGAATGTAAAACTACCGATACTTTTAAACGATAGTCTTTAAAGAGTAGAACTAGGAATTCCAAGATTTTTGGGTGAAATTGGTACTAAAATATATCAAAATTCTCAAATTACACTTAACTTCACTTATTAAAATACGACTTTACTGGGTATAATATAACTTTTTTTTTAAATTTATAGGTGTTAACCTTTCATCGAATGGTATCTTAATGTTTGGCCATTTTGAGTTCAAATTTAACCTGGTCTGAACAGAAAGACTTGGTGATCATATGTACTTCTACCCGATAAAAACTAGAAATATTATAACAAATATAGAAAATATGATGAGAACCAGCACTATTTAAGCTTGTGCAAAGTTTTTAAAAATTACAACCAACCAATATTTAATATTCTAATTTCTAAAACTTTTCCATATAATATATATATATATATATATATATATATATATATATATATATATATATATATACAGAGTATCCTGTAAGTAGACGCAAATTTTTATAGGAGAGATAGCAGATCTTAAGAGCTACAAAAAAGCTCATATAATCGAAATCCACGCTTTGTGCTTTTTTAAGTTAGTCGTGTTTTTTTTAAATAGAAAGCGATAACTAAAGAAATATTAATAAAAGCAGGTGTTGAGAAGAGGTAGTTCTCGCGCGGCTGAGGATCGGACATACTAGACTGACACACCTACACCTTATAACCAAAGATCATATCCCCTGATGTCAAAAGTGTGACCAGTCATCAACTATAAAGCATATTTTGGAAGAATGCCCTTTTTACACCTCAAGGTTAAAAGATCTCGGAATACCCCTGAATAGATCAGCATCCCTGGAAAATCAAGAAGAAATCCTTACTAAAGTTATTAAGTTATAAAACAATGAAAAAATTATAAAACATATATAACAAGTTTATAACTAATGCTCTTTGCAGATTTGTTTATTTTAAAAGTTCATTAATTTATTAATTTCAATTAATTTATTGATTTTATTTCTATTTTTTTAGTATATTTATTTATCTATTCTATCTGATTGCCTATAAGTGTCTATTAATATCGTTATTTTTATATTTTTTGCTGTTTTTTATTTCTATCCTTTTTTTAATCTATTCTATACTATTAATTTATTTATTTTTTACCAATGACCTGAACAGTATAAAAGTAGTGTTATTTAGTTGATCGGGCGCTGATGATCTGGATGTTTTGCGCCTAGACAGCGAAACAAACAAGAAATATTTAATTTAGGTTATTACCAATTGCTTTATATAGAGTTAGTCATCGTTAAAACTATTTATAGGGAAGTTTTTTGTGGCAAAACTGAGATAAGTCCTGTTTTTAAAAAAATCATAAATTATTCGCGGTTTTTTTCTACCGTCATTCAAATATACTACGGATATCCCACTTTTATAAAAACTTCCTCGTTTGCTAATATTCAAGTTTATATTAACTATGTTGAGGTTTATTGTGCAAAGAAATTAGATTAATCTCAAGTATTTGAAAGAATAATGTGATTTCTTATCCTGTCACCTAAAGGTACCCGTGTTTTAGCAAAAATTACTGCAATTAACTGTTTCATAGCATTTATTTCTTGTGTTTACATAATCCGGAATGTGTATTAATAAACATAATTGCTTAAACACATTTTTTATTTACAAAACAAAAATTAAAATAATGATTTTTCAAATATTTTTCATGTAAATTGGTTATGGAACTGTATATTTCTCTCAAATCTCCTTCATAGGAATTGATCTGAAAGTGACAAACCTAATGATTCTAGTTTAAAATGAAGAAACTTGCTGATTGCTTCAACTACTTTCATGAAAACATAAATATTAGGATTTGAAACATCAAATTTGTCACTTACTAATACGGATCAATCAAACTCTTTAAAAAATATGTATATATTTGATTTTTAAATTTATTAAGTTATATTTACTAAATTTGACTAAAAACTATATCTGCTAGTAAATAGAATAAAAACAGAAATTTTGGATGGTTTAGAAACAGTTTTGTATGACAATCGATTTAATAACTATTTCGACCTCTAGAATCTTATAAAATCATTTTTAACCTATACCTTTTGTTTTTTATCATTTAATAAAAAACAATTCTTTACTAGGAGAAATTTCGACAAAATGTACATCATAAATATATCATATCTATTTATTTACCATACCATAAATATATCATAATAGCTAAAATTGTTTCCATTTCCATGCCAAAAACTTCCCTCATATTGGCGCTGATGAAACTGCCGAATGTTGTACCAACGCTACATCGACGAGGCCAATAATCTATGACCAGCTATTCTTCACCTGATGGTCGCGTCAGTTCTTATCGATTGGAATCTTTCCAGGATTCGTAACCCTCTAAAATATCGCCTTCTCATCTATAATATCTTATTCATCCTCAAATAATTTACTGATTTCATATTTCCAAGAATAAAGTGGACTTCGATTTTTAGTAATAGGATGGGTCTGAGATATCATTGTTGATGACTTTGGTAGTATTCAGCAAAGCAATAGTGATTGTTCAGTCAGAATGGACTGATAAGGAGTCGCAGTAAGCAACAAGAGGACAAAAATCTAGGTATACATTGTGTTGGTCAATCGCAACCTTCTAAGGAAAGGTAGTATGAACTGGAAGCCGAAGTTCATTGGGTCGGATTTGAGGTTATTGTTAATAGAAGGGAGACTAATAAAATTAACGAAATCTCTAGTCCTAAAATATTAGTACTCTAACATAATAACATTTTTGAACTTGAGATTTATTTCAGGTCTAATCTATGACTAGGGAACGTAACAAATGGGTGGTGCATACTAATATACCATTAGTATTTTTAAGGCTTTGTACCTGGGATCGATATACAATAAAATATACAATAAAATACCACTAAGTATTAAGGAGAATATGAGGTTCGAGATGGCCGAGCGAACTAACGCGTGTGCACAGCATCGCTGTCGTGCGGCAACCAGTTAATTACAAGTTCGCGTCCCGGTGTTAGAGGGGCTTTTAACTCTGGTCATAATCCCTCGGCCAAGGGAAACCCCCGAATAGGCTGTAAGGCAAGGTATAGACTAGAATTATAGAATAGATAAAAAGTAAATCGCAGGATACTATGAGCAGAAACAGAAGATATTTTTTTTAGTTTAGGTAATGAGGAGTAGGTTTTATTTGTGATATAAATTTTAGAAATAAATGAAGTGTAATATTAATAAAATAATTTAAATATAAAAAAAAACTATAAAAATAAAACTAAAAAATAAAACTATGACGAATTTCGACCACAGCTCCTCAGTTTAAACAAAGAAAATCTTACGAAATTTTGCCTCGTATTTAATGGAAGAACATGAGGGTACTTCATGGAATGAAAGGGACCTGCTGCAATGTTTTCTGAATCGAGGGCCATAGCTGAATTGACTTTGATTTCATTCAATTTTCTCGTCCTAAACCCGGAGGACTAATTTTACTAAATCATAGTCTCGTTTGTTGGATAGGAAAAAAAAAGCCTAGCTTAAATTGACCGCGGAGACAAAAATTGAAAACTCATATGGTCCGTCCGACCTTGGACGGAATAATCATGAATGATACCTAAATGGTCATGGATATAAATTTACCGGTGGTGGGTATAGGATTTAATTTTCGTGAGCTTTGTGGCTCTTGAAAACCTATAAACAATTTTTTTAAAAACAAGAACAATACATTTACTTCCACATTTTTTTTTTAATTTTCATGAAGAGGATCATTCACAGATGAATAAAAATCATACCAAGGAACTTACATATTATGAATTATTATCATATTCCTTCTTCTTTGTTGAGTGTCTTTCTGCGTATATCTTGCTTCGCTTTAGAGCCCCCTTTCATTTCATATGGAAG